CCACCCACACCCACACCCATACCCGCATCCCACACCCACACACCAACCCACACCCACACCCCACCCTGGTCAATAACGACATCTCAGAAGTTTCGACATATTACATGATCGACGTTTTTTCTTTCGATTTTTTTTCATTCGACGTTTTTTCCTTGGACGTATATTTTTCGACCTTTTTTTCGACGTTTTTTCCTTCTACATTTTTTTTTCGGTGTTTTCATAGTAAATCCGTTTTCTTACAGACTCCAACTCAATTCTGTAAGGAGTCATAACTCTTTACTAAAGTAATTTTGAATCGTCTCTATTCAAACTCGAAATTGAATGAAAACTGAATCTTAAGTTAAATCCGGACATGATTTCAGATCCCACAAAAACTAAAAGTTTGGCTCTGAGTCAAGAATCACATGCAACTCTCTACTAGTTACTAGTTTGATTTCGTATTTATGGATAGATATCGGCCGTCAACATATATGAAGGCCATCGTATCAGTAAGAAGAAAGCTCTTATCAATTAACTTTTTTCTCTAACTTAAATTTATTGATGAGACTAATGATGCTTTGAAAATAGGCCAAGAGAAAAAGGCGAAGTAGCAATTCCACACATATTGTCATTTCGTTTAATTCTGATATAACCATCCTCACCCCAGTCTGTTCCCCATGAATTTTTGACTTTCCAATAATCAGTACCATTTTCAGTTCCATAACCAACAATAACAGGTGCATGATTCAGATTTCTATGCGTTGGACACCCAGGTACATCAAAAATACCAGATGCATAATGATCAAATTTATTCGATGCTTCTCGTAGAATAGTATCATTACCTGTGCGTAATCCACAATTGAAATAAACAACAATTGGACCTCGTTCATAAACAATTTTTTTCATATATTCTTCATTTCCAGTTGGTAATCGTTCATAATTCAGTGTATACGTTGAATTATGTGAAAGACGTGCTCCACTTGAATTTTGACATTTCTCTTGTTGTTTTCCATCGAGTGTTGATGGATAATCTTTTTCTAAATTAAGTCTATAATCATTGTTTTTAATATATTCAAAACAATCCTCAACAGTTCCTCCATCGCAACCACCTTCACCTCTACAATCAATTAATTGTTGTGGACTTAATGGACCAGATTGATTATAGATTTCTGCATATGTTTTTTCTAAACCTCCAACCATACCAAAAGCATAACATGAACCACAATGATGTTGATTTTTAACAGGCGTCACGGCTCCTGGAACCCTTGTTTGATTAGTCCAATCATATTCTGGTGGAACTGTTGCGTCACCACGTGATTCTACAGGTTGTTTATTATTAAGTGTTTTAACATTTATTTTTGAACGTAATCCATCTCTTTCTTCATCAGTCCAATCACTAAATTCAGTTACTTTTAATTTAAATGTTGTTGAAGAATCTTCATTATGTCGAATAATATATTTTAAATTTGCTTTAAATATTTCAATACGCTTTGATGCTTGAAAATCTATCATTTGTCTTGAAACACGACGAGGATATGTTTTTTGAAAATATTGATAAATATGATCAACTAATTCTGGAGTATTTTCAATAACTTCTTCTTTATTATTCATATTGGATAATAATCTATCAACCACCTCTTGAACGGATAAAGATGAGTTAACATAGCCAATTAAACAGAAGACCAAGACAGTTATTAAATATTTCATTTTCATGTTGTTGTTTTTTCTCAATAAAGAGCATTTATTCTTCGAGTGATTTTACATTTTATAGGCTTCAATAAATATATATTTTCCATCTGTTTTTGTTCTCATTGTATAATTTTATTACTAATATTGATTCTTTCTTATCTAATTCGTTCTCTTAAGATAAGTATTACGGTATGATATTAAAACGAGGACATTTTTATTCATTTTGTTTGAGAAAGAATCAGTAACAATAATACACTGCAAACGCTTCCAAAAAAAAAAGAAAAAACAATATTCTATGATTTTTTTCTTAGGCATTATAGAGATGTGCACCGCTGGAGCGGAGGTGATTGCGTTGACGAAAAAATTTCAAGCGCGATGACTGAGCGGCTGCTCCACCTCCGCCTCGGGTGTGAGAGTGGGTGTGGATGGGTCTAGGTGGGTGTGGGTGGGTGTGGATGGGTCTAGGCGGGTGTGGGTGGGTGTGGATGGGTGTGGGTGGGTGTAGGTGGGTGTAGGTGGATGTGGATGGGTGTGGGTGGGTGTAGGTGGGTGTGGGTGTGAGTGAATGTAAAATGTGGGTGTGGACGTGGATCTTCTTTTCAGGAGCATCCACACCCGCGCTCAACCACGCACCCACATCCACACTCACATCCTAGTCTTGGATTCAGTTGTTTTTTTCATGTGAATACCATCAAAGAGCAGGAAGGTGAAAAATTTAGACCGGTATAAGGCGGTTTCGACCGATGAGACCAGTTTCGACTGGTTTAGATCAATGCAGACCAGTCAGACAGGTTTCAACCGGCTCAGACCGGTGAGACCCGTTTCGACCGGTCAGATCGGTTTTTACCGGTAGATCGGCCGCTCCGGTCCGGTCTGAAATTTTCAGACCGGTACTGGACCGAGAAAAAGTAGATCGGTTCCATTTCTGGGTGTGGGTGGGGTGTAGATGTGCATGTGAATGGGTATGGGTGTGGGTGTGGGTGTGAGTGTTGATGAGGTGTGGGTGGGAGTTTGTGGGTGTGGATGTGGGTGTGGATGGGTGTGGATGGGTGTGGGTGGGTGTGAGTGTGGGTGTGGGTGTGAGGTGTGAGTAGGTGTAAGATGTGGACGTGGACGTGGACGTGGATCTTCTTTTCAGGAGCATCCAAACCCGGACCCACACCCACCCACACCCCACACCCTTTCTGATGATTTCTACCGATGCTCAAATATGTTCTTCTTCACAAAATATTAGTATCACTATCTAGTCTGATAGTCTTATTTCGTGTTTGGGGCTAAATCAATTAAAATATGACTACTATTACATCGAAGCTGTAAGACCTAAACAAATTATTAGAATGTTCTGCGGCTCATCGATACTTTCTGATATCCTAAGTGTAA